ATGCGGTGAAGGGTGAGAGTTATTCATCTTCACACATGGCTTTCACTTGGAGATTTGCAAATACTCCTCCTCTGTCCTCTTGGAAAGCTAAATGAGGGTGAACTTCTTGATGCGTGCTAATACTGTCTTACTACTTTTGATGAAATTCTATCTACTTGTGTCTTGAGAATGTTATAATTCTGAGATTGCATCCTAAGTTAGAACTATGTTATTTTGATGAATAAAGATGAGCCTATGTTATTTTGATGAATAAAGATGAGCCACTTATTGCTTTTTTCATCTTGTCCGATTAGTAAATTTGATTGTTCGTACTATCTTTAATTTAGCTCCATGAGTTTATTTTTCCAAAGATCTTATGACATCTAAAAATTCACTTGAAGAAATCAACCTTACCGGATATTAGTAGAAAAATAAGGTTTTTCATTCTGTTCGACATAGAAGTTTATCTTATGAAAATTGCATTAGAAAATGATTCATCTTGTACAAAATGGAATTCAATTATAACCTTAGTTGTGCTTTAAACCTCTTCTATTAACAACAAGCTATTGGCTCAGTGGGTAAAAACTTAAATTTTCTGATTCAATGTTTGGGTTCGAGTCTTCATAGCTATGGCAGCTCGTTAGGGATAAACCTAGTCTTTAGTGCTCAAAGCACGCAGTGGGACCTTAGCTTCAGCCCCGACATAGGTGCAGTGGGGTTCCCTGCAGATAACAATGTAGTATTGAGGGGCAATGCNTGGATTCCTAACATCCATTTTAGCTAGGAACAACCTTCCCTCCAAAGCTTAAGCCCCAAAACCAAGAAATCAAAAACCCACCATGGCCGAAACTTCATCACCACCACCCCATCACCTCTGACCATGGAAAGCCTTGAAATAACCACCAAAATACTCCTCTACCTCCCCCACAACACAGCCATGCCAACCAAATTAACCAAAATGACCTCAAACTCAAAACCCATTTCATAAAAACCTATAACCCAAAAATTTAAAACATAAATTCGAGCAATTGTAGTACATCATATAAAATTTTAATGATACCAGGAGATTTCTAGACCTCAAATTAGTCTAGTAGCATACCTTTAATTGTTCAAAGTAGCTTCTTCCACAAATCCAAAATTTCAAATTTGATTTTCTTTCTCTATCTTCTCTCTTCTCCCTCTCTCCTCTTGGCAGTTCTCCCTTATCCAGAGACTTGCTGAACTCCTAAGCAACTACTCAATCACCCTGGAAGCTTGGAGAAGGCTGAGGAGAACTCCTCTTGTGCTGCTAGGTAGCAGCTTGGGAAGAAATGCCATGTAATGGCATTTTCATAAATAACTCAATTTCATTTTTTTTTAATTCTATTTTTTTTATAATTATAAACTTATTAAAACAAGCACTATAAAAAAATATTTTCCTATATATATTTTTTTTCATACACATGCATGCTCGGTTTTTACACGAGAGGCTTGCGAGGCTAGCTTGAAGGGTCTTGACATCGATTTTATTGATCTCAACTACGTTCATTGCATTGATACTCGTGTACCAATTGAAATCATGGTTGGTTTATCTTGCCTCTCTGATGTTCCATAATGCATCAAGTTAACAATGAATATAAGTCATGTTGTATTTTGCAAGATCTTGATGGTATGCTTGTGTATAATTTTCCCATAGTTAAGGAATNACAGCCCGTAAGGGTAATCTCTCTGCCACTGAGTATTTTATGCACATCAAAAATCTCACAAATAAGCTCAAAAAGCTCACATATCATCACATATGTATTGACTGGACTTGGTCCAGANATGGTTGGTTTATCTTGCCTCTCTGATGTTCCATAATGCATCAAGTTAACAATGAATATAAGTCATGTTGTATTTTGCAAGATCTTGATGGTATGCTTGTGTATAATTTTCCCATAGTTAAGGAATAAATTTGCATAATTATTAGTTTTTCTCAACTTCCAAATCTAATGAACAAAACTTTTCTTGGATTGCTCTTTATTTTTATCATTAGTTGACAAGTTCAATTTCATCTTTNCGTAATTATTTTGTAACTCTCTAAGAGGTTTATTCTCTTTTGTTAACTAGTGAAGCACAAATTCTCCACAATAACCAGCCTCTCTCTATTGCTGGTGCTAGTGCTAATAATGCCACATGACAAGGAGATACCTCTCATGGTCAAGGTGGGGATAATTCTAACAATTACCGAGGCCGAGGGCGTAATCAATTCAACAATCGTAGTGGATATCGTCATAGCAATTACCAGAACAATAACACTAAAGACATTGATGGTACCAATCAATCCTCGCTTTGGTGTCAACTATGTGAAAAATCAGGACACACTATCCACAAATGTTGTCACAGGTTCGATATTAGTTTCCTTCACCCTTCCAAGAAAACTAATGCACAAGAAATGGTAGCTGCCAATAATCAGAATGTAGAAAGTGATTGGCATCCCGATGCTGGAGCAACACACCACATGACTTCTGATTTTAACAACCTCAACATTTGAAGTGATGAGTACAACGACTCAAACCAAATTCAAGAAGGAAATGGGGCAGGTTTGACGATATCTCATTCTGGTANCAAATAGGAGCACTTAAGAAATTAGTTGAAGAGGGTAAAATAAAATATATTGGTCTGTCTGAAGCTTCACCTGATATAATCAGAAGGGTGCATGTTGTTCATCCAATCACAGCTATACAGCTGGAATGGTCCTTATGGACTAGAGATGTAGAGGAAGAGGTCATTACCACTTGCAAGTGAGACATTTTGCTCGTGCCAAATGCTAACTATTTTGTTTAGGAAGTGATGAGCATTTCAAGTTTCTAGGTTCATTAATCTTATAACTTTTCAGAGAAGTTGGCATTGGAATCGTTCCCTAACGTCCTTTAGATGAAAAAGTCTCTCTTCAACATTATTTTGAGGATAATTAATATTATCTTAGTGGCATTGATCTTTGTGGTTGTCTCTTTGTGGTTTCATGAAGTTTCTTCTTCTGTCTTAAAAAATGATTCATTGAAATAATGAGTCACTGTTGTTCTTATGCTGAATTATGTGTCTATTTTTTGTAGACTATGCCAAGGTTTCAACCAGAGAATGTCGAGCATAAGAACAAGTTGTACGAGCAAGTTAATATAATAGCAACAAGGAAGGGATACACTATACCACAGCTAGCATTGTCCTGGGTCCATCACCAAGGGGATGATGTTTCTCCCATACTTGGCACCACCAAGATCAAAAACTTCAATCAGAATGTCGGAGCTTTATCTATAAAACTAACACCCGATGAAATGGCTGAGCTTGAGTCTATTGATACGGCTGATGCGGTGAAGGGTGAGAGTTATTCATCTTCACACATGGCTTTCACTTGGAGATTTGCAAATACTCCTCCTCTGTCCTCTTGGAAAGCTAAATGAGGGTGAGCTTCTTGATGCGTGCTAATACTGTCTTACTACTTTTGATGAAATTCTATCTACTTGTGTCTTGAGAATGTTATAATTCTGAGATTGCATCCTAAGTTAGAACTATGTTATTTTGATGAATAAAGATGAGCCTATGTTATTTTGATGAATAAAGATGAGCCACTTATTGCTTTTTTCATCTTGTCCGATTAGTAAATTTGATTGTTCGTACTATCTTTAATTTAGCTCCATGANTAGTAGAGATAGGGTTGTCCTTATTGGCACATTCCAATCTCCCTCAACACTACTAGGAAGATGCATTCCTTACTGCCACCTATATTATAAATAAGTTACCAACAAAAACTCTCAAACAAAAATCAACATTTGAGATGGTTTATAATGGGAGACCAAATTATCAATTTATGTGTGTATTTGGATGTGCCTGTTGGCCAAATCTTAGACCTTTTAATAGACATAAAATTGATTTTCATTCTAAAACTTGTGTTTTTATCGATTATAGCCTTTGTCATCAAGGCTACAAATGTCTTGACTTGTCAACCAGTAAAGTCTTTGTGTCGAGAGATGTCATTTTCAATGAAACACTTTTTCCTTATCAAAATCAGAACAAAACACAATCTCAGTCTGTGACTCAATCCATAGCTCTACCTCTAACCCTGCAACCTTCTCGGGTTTCCCCGAGTCATACTATGCCTTCCACAAGTACTTCAAATGTCTCTCCTACTATTGAGTTTGGTTCCAAACAACATACAAATCTACTTCAATCAAGTAGTCAACTACCTCCAGCAAGGAATGTGAATCCACTCCTACACCTTCTGATGTTCCAGCATCATCTACAAATCTTTTTCCTCCTGCTCCTGCACCAATCCAACATCAAATGCTCACTAGATCAAAAACCAATTCTTTCAACCCAAGAGTTCTATTTGATGGAACTATAAAATATCCTCTGCCTCGGACACTACTAGCAGTAGCAAAATCCAGTGTCTAGTGAGCCATCATGCTTCGCAGATGTAGTAAAAGATCACAAGGGGCATGAGGCCATGAACATTGAGTTTGACGCCTTGTTGAGAAATGGTACCTGGACACTTGAACCACCAAAACCAAACATAAACCTAGTAGGCTGCAAGTGGGTATATAGAATAAAGAGAAAGGCAGATGGTAGCATATACCAGTACAAAGCTCGATTAGTAGCAAAGGGATATCACCAGCAACAAGGGATTGATTTCAAAGAAACATTTAATCCAGTTGTTAAACCTGGAACTATTCATTTGGTACTTTCTACTGCACTATCGCATAATTGGTCAATTCAACAAATCGACATCTAAAATGCGTTCTTACATGGTGTGCTCCAAGAGGAAGTTTATATGAGTCAATCGACTGGCTTTGTGCATCCAGATTACCCTCATCATGTTTGCCGACTTCACAAAAGTCTTTATGGGCTACGGCAAGCACCAAGAGCTTGATTCTCATGGCTCACAGACAAACTACAATCACTAGGCTTTGTTGGCTCTAAATTAGATAATTCCCTTTATGTTCTTCAGCAAGGTCATCTTCACATTTTCTTCCTGATTTATGTCGATGACATAATAATTACAGGATTAGATTTGAAGAAAATTCAGCACATCATCCACCTGCTCGATTCTGAGTTTCCTATCAAATAACTTGGTGAGCTCTGTTTCTTCCTTGGCGTGGAAGTACTACGAATTGCTGGTGGCGTGTTCGTCACATAGAGAAAATATATTGTTGAGCTCTTACATAAGTCCTCTATGGATAAATCCAAACCCTGCATCACCCCTATATTTGCTATGTGTCAGCTTTTAAAATTTAAGGGTCCAAAATTTGATGATCCGCAGTTATATACAAGCATACTGTCTCTAATGGACTTTATCTTTCTGCACAAAGCTCTCACGAATTGCAAGATTTCTCAGACGTAGATTGGGGCGGGGAGACAAAGATGATATGCGATCTTTTAGTGTCTATTGTGTTTTTCACGGCCAAAACTTGATTACTTGGAGTTGTAAGCAATAACTCACTATTGCACGAAGCGGTACAGAGGCTGAATACAAGTCTCTGTCAAATACTGCAGTAGAAATTCAATGGCTTCAATTAGTTCTTATTGATCTTGGTTTACCAATTCGGCATTCACCAAAACTTTGGTATGACAATATTGGTGCAACTTACTTTAGTTCTAATCCGGTGTTCCATTCAAGAACAAAACACATAGAAATAGATTTTCATTTTGTGCATGATCAAGTTCTTCAAAAGAAGCTATAGGTGTGTTTTCTATCATCTAAAGATCAACTAGTGGATCTGTTAACCAAGCCCATAAGTTCAGTCCGTTTTCAACTGCTCAAGAACAATCTTCATGTCCAAGAAATTCCCTTTCGATTGTGGGGGCATATTGAAGCAGATATTTTGAGTCTAACTGACTCTACTACACAACAGGAGGATGAGCCTGATCCTCATAAACTCCAGCTATCATATTAAGTTATAGATTTATTCAAACTCTATCAGCTAAGATATTATAGGACAGTTAGACCTTCATTGCTATAAATTGTACATATTGTGTATATTCAAATTGTTAAAAAAACAGTGAGTTCAAATTCAAATTCTACTGCAATTTTACTCACCCAAACCAACACTTCCTCAAATCATGTTGCATCTTTGTGGTCACCACCAAGTGCTAGGCTATGTTTATGGCTCTATTCTTTCTCCACCGGAACAAATCCAGACTGGTTTTACCACGATGATCAATCCTGATTTTATCACTCGGCAATGCCAAGATCAACTTCTACTCATTTGGCTCCTGTCTTCCTTAACCGAGGTCATCCATGCCTAGGTCATTGCCCTTCATACCTCTCATGTTGTTTGGACAACACTTGCCACTTCTTATGTACCTCATTTACGATTTTGGATCCTCCAATTTCATATGGAACTACAGGCCATCAAAACTGGCTCGGATTCCATTCACAAATATTTTTTATATGGCAAAAAAAATTGCCCATCAACTTGTAGTGACTAATTGTTTGGTTTTTGACGATGATCTTATATTATATATTCTAGGTGGTTTGTCGTCCGAATATGGACATTTTTGTACAACCATTGCGACACATGCAGACTCTATGTCTCTCACTGATTTACTAGGTCATCTTCTTTCCGACAAATTTCGTCTTGCCCAGGATGTCATCATTTCTGTCTTTGCTCCAATAGCCCATTTGGCTCACCGTAACACCATTCCTTCTACTCCTCAAGACTCTAAGCACTCACAATAGTACCTGGTAATGGTAGTGGTCGTGGTGGCTGGTGTAGAGGTCTTGGCTCTAGATGACACAACAATAGTGGTTCCCACAATGACCAATTTTCTAGATCTAGTACCGATCGCTGCTTTAACCGAAATTTTTACGATAACTACAATTCTGATTCTGCTCCCAGTAATTACAAACCACCCTTTGCTAAACCTATTTGTCAAGTCTACAACCGTACTGGCCATATCCCCATCTAGTGCCACAATCGGTTCAATGAGGCTTTTGAATACACTATTCCCTATGCCTCCTCTCAAGCATATAATATGTCCTTAGACATCTGGTATCCTAATTCCAAAGCTACCCATCACCTCACTTATGATTTCTCTAATCTAGATTTATCCTCCAAGTTCACTGGCAATGCCACTGTCCAGATTAATGGGGCAGGTTTGAAAATTCACCACATAGGCTCTTCATCATTTTGGACTCTAAATCGTCCGTTCTTTTAAAAATTATTCTCCATGTCAAACACAATGTTTTCTGCACGCAAATTTTCTCACGATAATAAATGTTGATTTGAGTTTTCACCCATCTTATTTTTTTGTTAAGGACATCCACACAAAGAAGGTTTTACTTCGAGGACTGAGCTCTAATGGCCTCTACCAACTTCAATTTCCTCCTGATTCAAATAAAGTTGCCTTGTTTTATGATGCAGCTAATCGATGGTACCAATGCCTAGGGCATCCGACACTTCGCATAGTTCAAAACATCTTGACAACAATTGGCATTCCTTTTGGTTCCAATAAATCCCACCCAGTCTGTGATGCCTGTTAAAGAGGAAAAAACCAAGCTACTATTTTTCCCACTTCATCCACTCTGGTGATGCCTCCACTAGATATTATTTACTATGATGTTTCGGGTTCTGCCCCTGTAACTTCTTTTTAGTGACAAATGCTATTACGTTCATTTTATGGACGCTTTTAGCAAATACACTTGGTTGTTTCCGATCTCTAATAAAAATTATGTTTTGCCATGTTTCATTAAGTTTCAAACTTTAGTTGAAAATTTATTTTCCATCCGCATCAAGTATTTGCATAGTGATTGGGGTGTTGAGTATCACACTGTATCATCATATCTCACCAAATGTGGTATTGGCTATTGCATCTCTTGCCCTCACTCTAGACTTGTCAAAATTCGATAGAACACGATTAACTGACACGATTAACGGGTTTGGGCGAAGCTTTGCTGGGTTCGGGTGGTAAATGGGTGAACCTGCTAGACTCGATTAATAAAGAGGTTGTGTTTAGGTAAGATATGTCAACCCGTTTATTATTCATTTAAATAAAATTAACATAATAATTAACAATTATTCAAAAAAAAAATTAGAGAAACCCACAATACACCACATGAAATATGTAAGCCCAAAAAAAAAAGCCCTTTTCCAAACCCTAACACTTTTTCACTCAAATGAGGTATGTCCACCTCCAACCTCCTCTCTCTCTCTCTCTCTCTATGCGGCATAAAGTGAAACCCAACCTCACCGACTGAATCTCCCACTCTCTCTGACACGTCTCAAGAACTTCTGATATCTCTTCTTCAATTTTAACCACAGATTTTGGGTTCTCTTTGTCCCTCATTAGATTTTGTGTATGTATTGTATGTAGATTCAAATTTTCTACTCTCATTTGGCTAGTTAAAGGCTTCAATCACATGACAAAAACATATTTTCTCTTGGTATTGGTGAACTAAAAAGGT